GCTTGCTATCAGCGTTCATTAGGCCACACACGGAATGCGCTGTTCAAGTATAGAATCCATGGTCAGGCTCCAGAACATTCTCAAAGTTTGGCAACAAAAATGGTAAAAGATCTGTATAGCAAGACATACTTCAAAAAACTAAAATTATTGGTGCATTACGCGTCTCAGTACCGTCGACTTTGGAGGAGCCTTATCTTGACATACCACGTACTGTATCAACCCAACCATCCTTGCTGGTCTGTGTTGACTTTATCTCAAAAGAGTCATCTCAGGAGACATCCTTTGGAGTTGAGGACCCAGAACAGTCACCTATATGTCCGGCATCATTCGTTTACAGTCTGAGTGTGCAATGAATGGAATTCTCTTCAATCACATGTTTTGTGCGCTCCTACAGTTGATTGATTTAAATCGCAGCTGAATAAAGCAATGAAGCACCTAACATTTCAGCGTCTGTGAGTGATAATGCGTAGAATTATTATCGTTTTGTATTTGTAAATTTGTACGAAATATTCTGTACAAATGCTATGAGATATGATAAGCGTTAGCTTTTTTAAATTGCCCATAATAAAACGTTTCAATACGAACCATGTTTCAATCCACATCGAACGAATCCGTGATCACCTCACACGGCTAAATACAGGAACGATTGGGTTACTCACTAATGCAGTAATTTCGTGCCTAGCTAAAATTAGCTCCAAGTAATCTGTGGTGCTGATGTTCCCTTTCCCAACAGATGTTTTACGATTATATATATATATATCTTGTAGCACAGCAGAATTCCGGCATCAGGGATGCATATGTTTCATCAATTCCGTACAAATGGATATCGCAAAAGTTTCATCCAATAATGACTTAAAGGGAAAACACCGAAGGATGAAGAGAAAACGAAACTCTTATTACCACACATGCGTGGGTTATCAGAATCCGTCGATCGCATCCTTCGCTCTCTGGGTGTTACCGTTGCCCAAAACCCTACAGCAACACTGCGGTCAATTTGTAAACGGTCAGGACCAAATAGAACCACACGACCAACCACTACGACGCGTTGACCCGTAGTCACAGCTCTAGAACCACTGCGCAACGACAGGTCATGCGGTCAGAATCAATGATGCAAAAGTAGTGACAAGATCAAAGGGGAAGGGGGAACGTCTGATCCTCGAAGCGCTGCTTTCGACCAACTCATTCGGTTGGCAGGTGGAAATCGATTAACAATACACAACAATTCTATAACCAATGAGCTACGCGGGAATGATGGACAAACAGGCGCGACGCAAACCACAGCGCGAGACACAAGCAAACCCAATTCATGCAAGCATATTATCGTTTAACAACTAGTCCTAGTCTGGATCGAAAAGCCACAATAAATACTATCATTTGGTACTCGCCTTCTCCTTCTCAGTGTATATATTCATACCGGGGTGAATACAAGTAACTGAAAACTAGCTGGTTCGTCGATCTATGTTCTATTGGCAAGTTGGCCTTTGGGACTGTTTATAAGAGATCTTAGTCAAAAGGAAAAACAGAATTTTCTCGTTGAATACGAGAGCTCTTGGTCACCTTCAGAACTAAATTTAATCCACACGCATTTAAAGCTTTTTCTCCCACATTGCACACAGAATGTTGCTTGTCTGAACAGCTTCGTTTTGAGCACCAAAAATATGCCGTCGAGAACTGTAATCATTTTGGGTCGTACAGTAAGGTGTTTGTCTCAGCGAGTTAAGGAGCACCACCCGCGATGGTTAATTCAGTGTAAAATCGGTTGTATATCAAGCGTGATCGTGGGTCATCTCGTCGACACCGGGCACAAAATCAAACCGGGGAAAGCTTCAGATGTCGTTTATCGCATCCCAATCGATCGAGGGCGGCCCGAGTTTGCACACTAGCTGTGGCCGAGGCGATCGCCATTCGGTTACTAAGCCCCAACCTGTGTGCCTAAAAAAGATTGGTTCAAGCGCTCCAATTTCCTTGTCCGGTTGTTAAAACCGTGGCAGAACATGACGTGTCACTTGACTCAACGGGGAAAAGTTACATCAACTAACACACTAAACATTCTTGCACACACACATTACATAAACAGACGCACGCGCACATACACATCCTCTACTGTCTACCTCTGATTAATGACCTTTAATTGAGCCAATGGCTACCATTGTGTAACCATTTCCCCACTTTATTTCAAATAATAGTTTGTTTATGTTTGAAAACATATCCATTGGTAGACTTTAAGGAAATTGTACATGTTTTGTTATTTTTTCTGGCATATACCCAAACTTTAGCCTACTTCTACAGATGGAGAAATTTATAGAAATATTTTCAATGGCTTTCATTCAGATGGACAGAGAAATACAAAAAGCCTTTGAATTTGAGACATACTCTGATAAATCTAAATTAAATTAAAATGTAGGGTGCACGAATCGGTTTTGAATGGAGTCTGAACATACCCCAAGAAAAACCACATGCTTCACTTTGAACAAGCTGACAGTACTACACCAAGTAGATCATTAACTGATTTCTCTGTTATGAGAAATATTGTAAAACGATTTGCCTGGAACGCATTTTGTGATCAGACAAGCAGAAAATACAACAATAAAATTCATTGGTTCAAATGAGAAGATCACTGTTGTATTTATTCAATTTCTTCGCCCTTTTAGTCCACTTCAATTTTAACTACGACAATAATCTTGGAACTGCCTCCAGCTTTCTACCTGTTTCGCTTACTCCTTCTTTAAATCGTTCAAATTTTGAAAAAGTTCAGTAGCCTTAGTGAGCTTGTGTAAAGCGCACACACCACCAGGTGAGTGGGCTGCAAAACTACTTGAGCAAACACAAACCATACCGTCTATAGGTAACACACGTGATCTGGTGCCAGTTGAGAGGCAATGGCTTCTTTTGAGAACTTCATTCTTCTTTGCTTTTCTAAGTTTGTGTTAATAATTTACTTGCATTTAATTGTGATCAATCATTATTTCGGATTCATGATGATTCTTTAACGGAGAAATGCACCGTTTTTGCTTCCTGCTCAAGTGGCCTGGTTTGTATTGGCTTTCCTGCACTTTCTTGCATCACGCATTCTCCGTCCGCTGTCCCGACGCACCCGTATCACACCTATTCGCTCAGCCTCATTCGCCTCAACGCTAAATGCACAAACCCTCCCAATCAATCAATCAATCAATCAATCAGTCCCGGCTGAGATGGTGTAGGTTTTGAAGAAAGCTTTGAAAATGCATAGACCTTCACTTCCAGTCTTTTATCGGTTCACTTTCATCTGTTTCGTTTGTCGAAGATCCATCTCTCATAGCCACGAGACATAATCACTACACGTGATTAAAGTTCTCACCTACAGTCATGAACGCATTGTTTCTCGAGCTCATTTAAAAAGGAACGGTGTGAAGGAGTGCATTCACCAAAGTGGACGTATGACGATGGGTTCCCGGGATACAGACTAACGATTAGGCTTATATCATGCGAAGCATTTGATGCTTCAATTAAGCCAAACTTTTTCATGCCATTCGCCTGAATGTTGTTGCAATGTCACCACTATCACTGCCCCGCTTCCACCAACTTTTAGAAGAAAACAATAATCCATAAAAATACATTCGACAACACACAAATATCTATCATTGATTAGAAACGGATTCACATCACACTTGTGCACAGTTTTTACCCAATAAGGGAAGGCGAAATCGTTGGAAAGACAAACCACGCGGTTCAATCTAACCGGAGATAATTTGGTTAGTGGTTGCTCGGTGTGAGAATGAATGAAAAACCAATGGAGAAGATGCCTTGAGGGATTAAAGAGAGGGAAAATAGAATATTTGAACATAATGAGGATTGATTGGTTTAGATGGTCAGGGGGGATGGGTACGCGGGTGGGGGGGGGTGGAGATAAAACGTGGTGGGATAGGGTCAAAGGTTGGTCGGAAACGAAACGTCGTCATATATCATCATGGATGATGCCGATGGGGATGGGTGGGTGGTATAACACGTTTGATTACGATAGACTGCTCACGTGTACTGTGTGTTGTTTGTTGATCAAGGAATTCATAGTTATTTTTCTCTTTCCATGTCTGTGTATATACGCCAGAAAATGAAGGGTCATCAGAAAAGGAAAATAATTATGTACTGCGTGAAGTTCCATAGTGATGCATTTTTCTCAATGTGAATAGTTTAGAAAAAATAATGTTTTCTGATTGTGGCAATGGAAAACAAAAGCTTCGAAGATTTAGCCCCAAATAGTCCGGTATGAGATAGTGTTACGGTGTTACTTCTGTGGCACGGATGTGGGGGAACGCGTCAGGATTGTGGTAATTTAGTTTTCACTCTACAAAATGCCTCTCAGATGCCACATTCTAGCATAACACACACAAAAAAGGGTGAGTAATGACATTCATGGATATCCTGTAGGTGAAACAAATTTATGATGTGTTTGTTGTAAAATGAACAATTGGCAGCATCAATTTCAATCCACAGTGAACAGCCTATCACAAACATAAGACTACTCTGTGTATGTGGCTTGAATAAAATTTCCTCTTAGGCCTTCTTTGCGTTGGTTGTTGTTGTTGCTGTTTGTAGTGAAATTGGAGGAAGTAAACCTTTTGTAATGCGGGAGCGGTTGTCGGGGTGGAGTGGAGTGAGGCAGAGAAATAATGGGTGAGGACAAACAAAAGATCTCTCTTTTTTAGATTTTTATGCCAGTAGCAGCAGTAAATTATGGCAATGAGGACGGAAATCAAAGTCTGAAGAACCTGTTAGGGAGTGAGGCAGTGTGATCTGGGGTGCGGGGGTGGGTGGGTGGATGGGTGGGGCGCGGGACATAAATGCATCAAAATCGAAATTCAGCATGTTACACATGCATGCACACATGGGTATTGGCTTATGTGGACCATATGTACAGAAGGAGGGTAAAGTGATGTGTTGCAAGGGTTAAGACTGTGGATGTTCTGGAATGTTTTGGAACTGGACCCCGTGACTTTTCTCGTCCGCTATCCAGTGTGCCCGCTCTATCCAAATGAACAACTGGGTTGATGAACGGACGGGATCGATTGAAATAAACTAAATCCTTGAAAGATGGAACTGTTAAAATTCGCGGGATAATGATCCGGATAAACCAGACTGCACGTGGCTTGACGATTTTGATAACAACTGTCCACGGTGATCATACAGGCATCCAGTACGGCTTGAACGAGCAGTTCCTGATAGCGACCTTGATGATCATTACCGTGTGCAGTGTACACGGCAAGGTAATAGTAGCGTGGATAGTCTGCTCGATCGTGAGCTGGAGTGAACAGTGTCAGCTGCGTTTGACCCGGTGAGGTAAGACATAAAACTGGGCGTCTCAGGTCATGGCTGAGCCACCGAAACGCTGGAACAGGGAATTCACAGTAGTTGGTCTGAAAGTTGGTAATGCATGGAAGGAAAAAGACAAAACGTGTTAACAGAAAACAACAACAACACACGTGAGGCCCGCATCCATGAATGAACTACACCAATTAAAATAGAAAATTCTAATTCTAAAAATGACGGGGCAATAGAAACTACTCAAAATATCCGTTGGACCAAAATGATCAATCTATACTAGCTTATTCAAATTAGGCTACATTTTTACTCATATTTCATTGGATTTTGAACATTTATTCAGTTTGTTTTGACGCGGACCGTCTACAATGCAATTAACCATGAATCAAATTGATGAGAACCATTTGTGTGTAGCCTGTTGTTCTCGATTTACCCGTACTCAGAATCGCATTAATTTTGAACAGGTTTTTAAAATCGCTACTGGATCAGCTCAAAACCCTCCGTGAAGAACGTGAGTACAACTCCNCGGAGCATAATAATAATAATAATCGTTGATGATTTAGTGGAGATGGTGGACACCGTAGCGGAGCACAAATGTGAACAAACAAGTTGATTCGGAAATCCCGGCGCGACCCGCGTCAACCGGAATTGTTCACCTGATTAGTTTAGTGCGAATGGCTGTAATGCCTAATTTATTTCCATTTGTTTTATTTAGTTTCACAAGTTGTAACAACAATAGTTCATGATTATTACTATCTTCATGATCGCAGTGGTCTACTCAAGAATGTAATTTCCAACAGTGAACACTACCTCTCCCCCGGTGGGTGAACTCGGTCGTCAGGACATGCACGCAGATATCGGGGTAGAAAATGTCGCGTGTTCCTCCGCTAACGAGAGACCGTGAACCACAATTTCGTGACTGATTTCGTCGTTTGCAGTTGAGCTAGCCTGTGTGGAGGACAAAGTAGGCCTGCCAGATGTTTCATGAAAGGTTATCAGTTTATTACGGTCGTCACTGATACCTGTGGTGGTTATGGTGGTGGTAGTGGTAACTAAAGCAAATGCATTCTCACCCCTAAAACTCATAAGTAGAAAGGCTTCTAGGACAGCCCACACCTCGGAAGGTGAACCTGTCAGCGTCTATAAATCTCGTTGAGAGGGTCGAAAAGCAAGAAATTATTAAGCTTTAGTGGTCAAGTAAAGGTTATTAATTTGCAAAATAGGCGTGTTTTTATGAAGTGGACTGCATCCCATTCGGGTGTAATAGAAAACATAAATGTCAGCAATTATGGAAAAAGATACCAGCATGAAAACCAGCTGGGCGGCAAAGAACATTCCCGAGCAAGAAAGATTCAGAGATATCAATCTCAGAGACTAACAACGAGTAGGTGGAGGTGGCTAAGAAGGAAGTTGTCACGGCTAGAACTGGAAGTCAAGCTACAAACATCTGTATCAGAATGACCCGTAGAATTTGTTTTCAGAATGAAGACCGAAAACTCGTGGGGTTCATGCTGCAGACACTAACAAGGAGAACCCTTGGTCATAGATTCAAATGTGATAAACTAAACTACTATCAAAGATTTGTATTTTGTCCTTTTTTAATCGCTTTTGTTTTATGGGAACAAAATAGAAGGTAGAAAGGGGCTAGAACTGTATATTCAGTTTTGTGTCATTTCCTGGGAAGAGCACTCCCAAGCAGCGAATAATTAGTTTTGGTCCAGTTCTGCTTCATTCTCATTTTTCCGTTGAAACCATTCTATGAATTAACTGATTAATTTAGAAGTTTACTACTTCCAATAAGTCAGTAGAATATTGCTGACGGTCTTGGTTTTGTCCAGCTTAGGAACGTTATCTAACATTAACGGTAGAGCAGCAAATTGCAACAAATACCTCAGTTTTATGTCCACACTTTGTAAATTTTCAAGGTCAAAAGCACTTGCATTTGCACTCCAGTGTCATTCGTTGACAAGCTAAAATATGCGCAATCATACTGAAAGCAACCATGCAATTTTCAACTAGTGCGTTCTGTTAGGTTCCCCTCAACAATTTTTCTTACACATAAATATCACTTCGCCTAAAATAAACCGGGAATAAGCTTAGAATAACTTTTAAAATTGCACACTACAGAACATTACGTTTCAAATAGGGACGATGAAACTTACTGAGAGTTGAAGTTGTTCAAGCGTCTGACTTCGCTGCGCGGGAACCGGAAACATATAAATCCAATAGTAGTGTGGCTCTGGATGCACATTCAGTGTGATGTAAACCTGGTGCTTTTTACAGTCAACACCAACTCCTAAACCTTTTGAGCGGAGTTGGCTCGACCGTTTGTAGCGGCGCCAAAACGCGTATCTCGGACTCCAAAAAGATTTCAGAATGGTCGAATGTTTTTGTGGCCGGTCTGAAGTGAGCTGCCTGCTGTGTGGCCATACAACATGTCTGCGGAACCGACGTTCTAGATGTGTTGTATCAGTATACATTGGAGTCCTGCCGATCGATTCAGCTAGCGTCTTCTGAACGGGACCAATCGGCAGTTTGATGTGTGGTCCTAACATCTCTGCGGTTTGTGTAATCACGATATCATTTAGCCTCGTGGCCAGTTCTGTAAAGTTCAAACATAAACACATGTACAGGCGAGTACAGAATTGCTTAAATAATGTAAATGCATCAAAATTTAAACGGGAAATCTAGAAAAAACAAAATATGTTCCTCTGTAGTGAATAAAAATACGAAGCGCACCAATGTCGCGCTCTGTCACAAGCTAGTCAGTCAGTCAGTCAGTCGGTCAGTCTGGCTATCTGTCATTTTGTGTTTATTCAACAATTGTTATTTCATACTTAGTTGGCTCACTTTGAATGTATAAGGCCATCAAATTTAATTAATTCCATGATGAGGTAGCAATACGGGATGAAACACTTGATTCGATTTCAACCGATCATTGTCCAAGCTCCAAATCCTTTCCAGCTGCGATTGTAATGAAATGTCAATTATCAGTGATTGGGTCAGTCTATTCACGATTGACTTATAGAACATGATTGAGACAAAACTTCTACAATAAAACAAATTCATTCGACCCACCAGTTAAATGTGGCCGTTTGGGTAACAGATTCGACTTGTCGCCCAGGATAAAGAAACGCGCTACATGCTCCCCAGATTTGAATGCAGCCGATCCGTCCATGTACAGTCTGTAGCTGCCCGGGTGCAGTTGATTCGTCACTCGAATGATCTGACTGCTGTTTACAACCACTTGAAACAACTCCTTCTCGGTTTGCGAACTATCATGTGATTTCAAAGGGAGAAATTAAAGAAAATAGAAGGTTAGTCAATCTTCCTAGTGAAATTAACTGCTTCTCTGACTCAAATACCAGTGGATTTCATAATTTTTAGCAACCAATGCAAACGTTGTCAAGTACTTCCAGAGCTTTCCGTGGGGAGTTGGACATCTGAGTTCTCAGTCTTGAAGGAATTTGATGGATTGGGGTCTTCTCAGGAGCCACGGTTTATGCGATAGTTTAGTCTATAGAGATAAACTACTGGTTAACCAAAATAATAACCATTAGAGTGATCTGTGAAAAGTTTGACGGATTGGGTTACAAAGAAGAATGTATTCCTCCAGTGAAAATTAGACGTAAACAAGCAGATGTGTACCATGAAGTCTTTTAATCAAAGAAAGTTTTATGGAGACTCATCTCAATACTTCGCACTATCTTTGCATGCTACAAACCATCAAAATGCACACCTTGGTCTAGATGGACTTGACCTCCTGATCTCTAAATACTAATGCATCAGAGCACTGGGAACTGGGCGAGTTCATCATCGTTATACGTGTGTTGAAATTTTTATTCGGTATTCTGAACCGTTTCGGAGGGAAAGACAAAGATTGTGCACTTGTATGAAGAAACGATTAGTGGCATTGGACGATAGTTTTTGTATCATGACATCGTTCAGTCAGCTTCACTCAGTTCCTAAATGGCAGAAACAAGAGCACAGTTTGTCCAATAACTCCTGACTAACTTGAAGAAGACTCTATTTTTTTTACAGAAATGCATTTATGTGTACTCACTCATCGCTGCCCTGTTCGTTTAAAACAAACGTGGAACACCAGCGAAATTAGCTGAAATAATTTATACTTATACATTTATATTTCTGACTGTTGCTATTTAAATAAACCCTCTATTGATATAACCGTACACTCCTATAGTTTGTGAAGAACACACAAGTCACTGAAATGGAACGGGTTGACTGTAATTGTGTGAACACGATTTACAGGGCTAATGGGTGATATACAGATCAATAATCATTAGGCGGTTGGTACAGGTAAGGTCGATAGCGAGACTAACCAGTCACGTGATACGCGATGTGAGCGAGCTGCGGCATGATCTGAACGCTCATCATATCCGTAGTATAAACTTACGGTCAATTTTACCGAATAGAGTCACCAAATCTTTGGGCTACCAATCTCTAAATAATGCTGCCGTTTTCGAGAGCCACCATGCCTTTGAAAAAAATGAAGAAATCATACATACTAATTGCCCATTTGTCGCTTGTTGTCCC